CAGGACACAAGGGGTGGGGTAACCAGTGGAGCAAAAAAAATCAAAAACTGAGTGCTGCCGGTGTAACGACACAAACAGCTCCCTCTCCCAATTCTCTACTGTGGCCCAGTGCTGCTGGCAGTTGGGGTGGGGAGGAAGCCGAGAACAGCTGAGTGCTGCGGGCAGAGGAGATTATGCACCCTCCCTTAGCTATGCATACCTTCGAGGGTGACCAGATGTCCCGATTTTATAGGGACAGTCCTGATTTTTGGATCTTTTCCTTATATAGGCTCCTATTACTCCGCACCCCCCGTCCCGATTTTTCACACTTGCTGTCTGGTCACCCTAATACCTTCAGCCTCTGGTTTTCAGGAGAGGGGGGAAAAAACCAACCGAGAACAGCTGAGTGCTGCCAGCGGTCAGAGGAGACGAAAAAAAAAAAGCCGAGAACAGCCGGCGGAGGGGGAAAAAAAAAAGCGGAGTGCAGCATCCCGACCGAAGATCAATCGGGATGCGGGACAAATACCTAAATATCAGGACGGTCCCGATTTTATCGGGACGTCTGGTCACTCTAGGACCCACACATGTGAAACAGAGCTCATTTCTAGTTCAGTCCCATCTTTTCAAAAAAGAACTTTAGGTAGGGTTAACATACATCCGTATTTTTCCAGACATGTCAGGCTTTTTGGTTCTTAAATCGCCGTCCGGGAGGAAAATACGGATGTATGGTAACCCTATTGGTACAAAATATACATACTATGGCACATCTCTTAAATCAGAGCTTTTTATAGGGATCCGGTTGCTAAGAAATGAAAGGCTTTTTTTTTACATTTTTTTTTAAGTCATCCCTGCCGGGGCCCTGCCGAAAATGTTCGAATTGGGCCCCGCACTTCCTAAAGCCGGCCCTGCAGCTAGGCACCAGGGTGGAGTGCGCCAGCGAGGCCCAGACAGATGCGGCTGAGTGAGCTGATCTCCGGCCTGGGCAGCCGTAGGGAAGCCACTGGGGGCTTCAGTGCCATTGACTGCAGGGATAACGCCGACATGCTTCATTTAGTGCTCCTGACAGTAAGTCCAGTGATTCGCTGTCACTTTGTGAGGGTGGGAGTGGGGTTGTCACAGCTGTAAATATTTTCAAAGGGGGCCCAGCCCTAAACGTTGGAGAACCCCTGCTCTAGAATGGGTTTTAAACCACCAGACGCCCTTTAGGACAGTAACATTTTCCATCTAGTTCCCTAGGCCGGAGCGTCTCAGCTCACCATCGTCCCAGAATCCCCCTCCTACCTAGTCTCGGATTCAGGTACGATGCCCTGAATTTAAACACCTGACAGACTCTAGCAATTGTTGGGGAAGTTACTGTCTTTGAGCTCCGCTCTAGCTCAACTCCCAGATCTGGGCTGGAGCAGAAAACCCTGAGGTAGGTTCTCCAGCCGGGGCCGGACACAGAGTTGGTTGGAAAGCTTTTGATAGAACCGTTTTCCATTGGAAAAGGCCGTTTTGTCAAAATTAAAATCTTTGGTGGGGACGTGTTGGTTTTGGATGGGAAAAGTCTAAATGAATTATTTTGACATTCTCATTCTGGGCGCTATTCCTGGCCTTCTGGCTGAGTCCCTTTCTGTGACTCAGTTTCCTCCTGTGTACAATTGAGGTATTGATACTGACCTTTCTGAGGCGCTTTGAGATCTACAGATGAAAAACACCATCTAGAGGGGAAGGATGGCCCAGTGGTTGTTGGGCACTAGTCTGTGACTTGGGAAACTCAGGCAATTCTCTGCTACACAACAGACTTCCTGTATGGGCTGGGGCAAGTCACTTTAGGCACCTAGCTTCCCTTGAAATCAGTGATGTTGCCTGAGTCTGCAGAGAGCCTGAGCCAATTGCTCTGAAATCAATGCAAGTTACGTGCTTAAATACCTGTGAATTTCTAGGCCTCAATTTCCCCATCTGTAGAATGGGGATAATAGCCCTGCCCTATCCCCAGATGTGGTGGAAGGATAAAGACATTAATGAAGCCAGAAGCGCTTTGAGCTCTACTAATGAAAAGCACTGTGTAAGAGCTAGAGATCATTTATTGTGCTGGCTTTAATGGCGCTGGGCTAAGTCACGCTAGATGGGAGCTGATCCCCACGGCCTTATTTTTACAAGTAATGGTAACTTGCAGCTTGGTCTGGAGTCGTCTGAGCGGCTGATTCTCCTCCGGCTATGGCAGCATGCAGGTGATCTTCATGATGGTTTTGGAATACTCATGGGAAGCTGGCTTGAACTCGTCCACCAGCGGCTGAAGCTCCCGAATCACTGTCTCCAGTTGGTCTCTCTCTATGCCGCCCAGGATCGCGCTGAAAATCAAGTCGACACCCACACCCAGGAGTGCACCAACAAATATGGCGCCGACAATGGAGGAACCGACCTTGACCACGAGCGTCATCATTTTGCTCATGACGCTGGTCGTCACCTTCGATGACACCAGCTTGATTAGGATCCCCAACGCTAACCCAGTGAAGCCGCTCACCCCCTTGGCCCAATTGTGGAGAATCTGCATCTTCTTGGCATCAGGCTCCTGGAAATCGTGAAGCTTTCGGTAGAGATCTGGCTCCAGTTCGCTCTTCAACCTTGCATCGATGGCCTGCAGCGTGTCTTGGATGGACTGTATGGCTGCGAGGAGTACGTCGCAGTTCTCCCGGACGGTGCCGTTCTTGTTCATCTTAATGGGGTGCAACTCGCAGTGACAGTGTGTGTTTAAGGCTTTAATCAGATCGTTGGTGGTATCAAAATTGAGCTCTATGCAGTTGATCAGGTCCTGGTGTAACCGCACCACCTCCTCCCGCCTCGCTGGGTTGCCAGGGTACAGGATATCGCTCCAGGACATTCTCGAGAGAGCTGCCAGGAGAGGAAGAGGAAGGAGGCGTTAGTAACCCTCCCCACTGCACACACACCCCCGTGCAAATCACCGACTTAGCCAGTGCAGAGACTCAGCTGCCATTAAAACAAAAAAGTCTCCAGGGCTCCGATCCCCAAAGGTCTTTAGGTGCCTAATTCCCGTCAGTCCGTGGGAGTTCTGCGCCTAAACACCTTGGAGGTTCTAGGGAGGAAGGACTCGGCCAGTGGGTCCCGCACCCCCGAAAGCGTCACACCCCCAAACCACGTGGTCTCGGGAGGAAAGTGCAGCGAGGAGCCAGCCAGAGCCTCCAGCTGGGAGAGGGAGAATCCGCCCAGCAACCTCGGGGCTCTCAACCCCGCTCCCCAACAGACCCTCAATGGCCAGAGATCC